TCCTATTTCTGCCCAGATGTATAAGCGTGCGTCTAACTCTTCCCCTTCGGTCGTGCTGGCAGGGAACCGAGTTCTTTGCTGGATATCTTCTAGAAGAGAGTTTATCTGTGGATAACCTGTTCGTGTTTGTTTTGATATTTTCTTATTTCGAGGTTCGAACGCTTCTTACTCAGTGTGATTACACGACCGGCGATTGTTGTGGTAGTTCGACCTTATAGCGCTCCTCCCATCTTTCAGTGCGCTTTGCCATTTCATCATACGCTATGCTGCCCACTACTCTTGCCTGCTTATTTCAGCCACGAGGGTGATGGCGGGCTGGCCTCGCTGGGCGTGCCTCGAGCCACTCGGACTCTGGTACCATGCCAAATTCCTGCCCCGCGCTTGCGTGCTTTTTCGTCCGCTCGTGCTGGCCTCCGTTGGTGCGCGTCACGTCACTAATTAAGTGCACCATTCAGGTAACATTAAAGAGGGACCACCAACGCAACGGGCAGTCTACTCCATAACCTTTCAAGATGGAAGTGGTATTATTTGTTTCACTAGTGTACGCTGCACTGACGATATAAATGTACGAGCTAATGTAAGGTCCATTTCACCAAGAACCCCAATAGTGGTTTCACCATCTGATTGGGAGGCAAGACCCCTGAAGGTAAGCACCGCAATTTTACATCATTTCAACCAGTTCCAACAATAATCGCTATAAAGTTTGCTAAAGACGGTATGTTTCATACAGGTTGCAATATGGGACACCCCAAACAACTTGGCGCTATGGTCATCAAAAAACGACGAAACAGAAATTTCCTTGAAGGATGTTTGGCAATACCGGCTGGATCCCTACTGTTCACCTGCTGAGCATGTTCTCATGCTCTGTGGTATTACCGAAAATATGGCCGACAAATTGGAAGATAGAGCTCTGAAATTCAAAGATTATTTCAGAAACTTCACCCTGTTAGAGCTCTTTGGTCATAAAGATACCATGCACAAGGCTTATGCAGGTGCAATATCTACTGTCTATTCCATATTCGGCGCTTTGAGACCTAAACAAAGATCATTTCGGATGGCACTGCATTGTGGGATGGTATTCTACAACCTTCCCAATAAATTTTAAGTTTTCTGTGAGTGTATGTGTGCAGGATGTGGTCCTCGACATGGTATTGAATGCCTCAACATGACAGCATTACTCTGCAAGTCAGCAAATAACAAGACCCGTATCGCCAACATAGCAGCCAGTCTGGACGTCAGGTTGCTGGGTCTTGCAGTAGTTCGACACCTTGCAGCAACTGAATTGGCCATTGTCAGCCAGATGATCGCTGATGGCCATCCCTATGCTCCTGAAGGGTGGAATCGCAATGCTGCTCGCATGACGGCAAAGAACAACCATTTCTACCGACAACCCAAGAAGGGCACCATCGTCCTCGTAGACGGTGTGAGAAAGGCTAAAACTGGAACTTCCTACAAGATCAACATCCGAAAGCGCCTTTTGGGTTCTAACGTCGTATTGCCCACTCGAGAAGGCCAGGTAAGGATGCCTACAAATGTTATATTCTTATGATACCACTGTATACATAATTGCCTATAAATGATCACTTGCCTACTCATTCAATATTGTAATATGACAATACTAACTTATGGTGTTTTGCCAACAGTGCTTGGAACTACCGTTCCACCGTTACGGTGGCAGTGTAAATCATCACAAATTTGCACTTGGAATTAAGGCACAAGATGATCCAAGAAATAATGAAGAGGAAGATGAACTTGCTGATTTCTCCAAGCTTGTCACCTCCCACGTCCTCAATAAGGAAATAGGCGTTGGTCCTTTAAGGTGGGCGTTTTCTCAAACTTTGGGGTTTCAACACCATTACAATTCCATAGAAAGAATAGGGTACACATTCGACTTTAATCCCACCACCTTTGCCTCTATTTCTAGATCTCAACTGCCATATGCCATAGCCAAGTATATGGCTCACACGCCTAAGTAGGAGCCAGTCAAATTGTCCCAAAATGGACCTCCTTGGCATTCAACATGGAACCCACACCGCCATATACCAATCCCAATATTCTATGGGTGAGAACTTGTAAATTGACCTCCATTTGGCCCTTGTAGCCCTACAACATAGCAAACTTGCCCTCCCTAGCATATGACATGATTGTCACATCCCAACACTTGGCAATCCCCTTAAAAGGCGCAAGACCCAAACATATGCGCCCCATATAGACCCACAAGTTCTTCAATATAACACTCTTACCATCACTGCCATAAACCATATGCCATGACCATCGGTTGCTTACTTTTCTATCTTTGCCACTACAGGTACCACCTAGAAAAGGAAATTAAGCTGCTGCTGAAGTACCATCCCACAAACATCGCAAATCCATGCAATCATCCCAAGCCAGATGGATACAACTACCAACTAGTACGAATGTTCGCAGACAACGGTATATTCCCTCACAGCCATGAATGCCTGGATTCCTGAAATACTTTTATTACTCCTTGTTAAGTTTCATCACAATCATCAAATTATTGGTTCACCTAGCACGATGCACCTAGCACGATGCGATAGCTGATTGTAAATATGTGGTTGTGAACCAGATGAAGGAGCAAAAAAGCTGCACTATTTCGGGATCTTGCTTCCTTTTCATAACCTCAGTTACCAACAGCAACTTCGTGCATTGAAAGGAAGCCTCTGCCCCAAGTGTGCTGAACTAGCACCTGAAGACCTCCCACAAGACACCCACTATGTAATCACCTGGCTAGACTGTGATATCACGCACATCCCTCAGACATTGGTTCATACCTATTTGTTGACCAACACACCTAAGAAAACAACCGTTCATACAAACGCCCTTTGTGGTTTCAACGCAAAAATGGTCAAGCAAGGTGGACATGCCATTGATCCAGAAAACTTTATGAGCTCCGTTGCAGTAGAGGAATACAGGGTGCACCAGTTGGCAATATCAGTCTTGAAGTCTAAGTGTGAGGTCTCAGCAGATTTATATCATTATGCTCCAGACATTGCCAGCCTCATAGCTTCTGGACCACAAAGTGGTATTCTGCAAAACCCCCCAACCAAGGCACACCCACGCAATTGGAATATGTCTTACTTGATGCGCCTCATGAATCAACCAATGCCCATATTAGTTAAAGATGACAAACCAGTGATTGATGAAAAAACGAACCAACCGGTGCGGAAGAAGAGGAGACGCCGACCTACCCAAAACAATACGGGCTGCAAGATGAACGCTAATGGTGACCGAATAAATAAAGACGAGATAGAGAAATATAGTGATTCTGATTCCTCAGGATGTGAAGAATTTTTAGACTGATAACACCTTGCTTCACTAGTAGTGACATTGCCTTATAGTAACTAACGTATGGAACAAAAAATGTGTGTAGATACCACACTTTTATTCAAATGTATAGATATAACCACGCTTTCATTACAAATGTGATTTCGACCAGATGTGATATGCTTCATTCACCTTACGAACCAATTCTTGGTACCTTTCCTAAATTCATAGTTTAATTCCAATGCACACCAATTTAGATATGCAAATATAAAGAATGCATATATTTAAATGCTTGCTTATGCATCTATTTTCTCATTTGTTCCTTATACAAGTATACACATATATATGGATTGTTATGACCGTTGGCATACTTATTATGCATATAAATATTAATCATTTAATTATTCCATTTCCTCATAATTTGCTAGATTGATAACACCTACTTCCTAATTTGCTAAATTGATAACACATACTTTACAAAGTGCCATCCATTTTCAGCAAATGCTATTCCTGAATTCTTAATTATCAAATTGACATGCAATTACCAACCATACATTAAGATCATGTGCACTATTTGGCTCACATAAGTGTGTGTGCTAGGAATTGATATGTCCCCTTGGATAAGAGATTTATTTTTTCCCCACCTGTACGTTCACGTACCCCCTATATAAATCAGGTCTTCATTCCCGCAATTCCCAGAAATGCTTGCAAGGACGGATGAAATTCAGTGCGTTAACAGTGCAAAAATTAACGCCCATATCGTAGACTGTACACGACGCAGTGTATGCTGTATGCATATTATATCAATTGAAGCCCCAGTGTATTGTATATATAATTTTTAGAAATAGTTTGCTTGCGATGAAGCTGGGTAGCAGTTCTTGGGATGCAGCCCGAATCCACGTCATCAGCGCGGGTCACATCGTGCCCATGCATACGCGATCGTAGCGCAGGTCACATCGCCGTGCCCGAGCATACGCGATCTTAGCGTAGGTCACATCGTGTGCCTTATGCCGTTACATCTAAGGCGGTTTCCGAACCGTCGCTTCGATACCAATGTCAGGGTTGGAAATCGGTGCGGGGATTTCACTGTACGAGCCGGGTCAAATCATATATATCGTCATGGGGCGAAAGTGCTCCACGACGGGATTTGAACCCGTGACGTTCGCTTCTCTAGTGCGACGCTCTACCCAACTGAGCTACGCGGAGGATGATGATCCTCTCGCGCATTTCAGTGGTACTCGTACAGATCGGACTGTTACCGATCGATGATCGACTATGCGTGTGACATCGACGACGACGTACCAACATCGCGACTGCGGGCGTCTGTCATCTTTCGATCCGTGACATATCTCCCCTCTTTAAAGTGTCGTGACCTCACGACATTCGTGTCGAGTTACTTTTCAGAGGTCCGACCTCAGATGTGATGGCGTGGCAGCCTGCGATGAAGCTGGGTAGCAGTTCTTGGGATGCAGCCCGAATCCACGTCATCAGCGCGGATCACATCGTGCCCATGCATACGCGATCGTAGCGCAGGTCACATCGCCGTGCCCGAGCATACGCGATCTTAGCGTAGGTCACATCGTGTGCCTTATGCCGTTACATCTGAGGCGGTTTCCGAACCGTCGCTTCGATACCAATGTTAGGGTTGGAAATCGGTGCGGGGATTTCACTGTACGAGCCGGGTCAAATCATATATATCGTCATGGGGCGAAAATGCTCCACGACGGGATTTGAACCCGTGACGTTCGCTTCTCTAGTGCGAGTGTGCGACGCTCTAACCAACTGAGCTACGCGGAGGATGATGATCCTCTCGCGCATTTCAGTGGTACTCGTACAGATCGGACTGTTACCGATCGATGATCGACTATGCGTGTGACATCGACGACGACGCACCAACATCGCGACTGCGGGCGTCTGACATCTTTCGATCCGTGACATATCTCCCCTCTTTAAAGTGTCGTGACCTCACGACATTCGTGTCGAGTTACTTTTCAGAGGTCCGACCTCAGATGTGATGACGTGGCAGCCTGCGATGAAGCTGGGTAGCAGTTCTTGGGATGCAGCCCATCGCACCGAAGGTGCATCGCAGATCTTGGGATGCAGCCCGAATCCACGCGTCATCAGCGCGGGTCACATCGTGCCCATGCATACGCGATCGTAGCGCAGGTCACATCGCCGTGCCCGAGCATACGCGATCTTAGCGCAGGTCACATCGTGTGCCTTATGCCGTTACATCTGAGGCGGTTTCCGAACCGTCGCTTCGATACCAATGTTAGGGTTTGAAATCGGTGCGGGGATTTTCACTGTACGAGCCGGGTCAAATCATATATATCGTCATGGGGCGAAAGTGCTCCACGACGGGATTTGAACCCGTGACGTTCGCTTCTCTAGTGCGACGCTCTAACCAACTGAGCTACGCGGAGGATGATGATCCTCTTGCGCATTTCAGTGGTACTCGTACAGATCGGACTGTTACAGATCGATGATCGACTATGCGTGTGACATCGACGACGACGTACCAACATCGCGACTGCGGGCGTCTGTCATCTTTCGATCCGTGACATATCTCCCCTCTTTTAAAGTGTCGTGACCTCACGACATTCGTGTCGAGTTACTATTCAGAGGTCCGACCTCAGATGTGATGACGTGGCAGCCTGCGATGAAGCTGGGTAGCAGTTCTTGGGATGCAGCCCGAATCCACGTCATCAGCGCGGGTCACATCGTGCCCATGCATACGCGATCGTAGCGCAGGTCACATCGCCGTGCCCGAGCATACGCGATCTTAGCGTAGGTCACATCGTGTGCCTTATGCCGTTACATCTAAGGCGGTTTCCGAACCGTCGCTTCGATACCAATGTCAGGGTTGGAAATCGGTGCGGGGATTTCACTGTACGAGCCGGGTCAAATCATATATATCGTCATGGGGCGAAAATGCTCCACGACGGGATTTGAACCCGTGACGTTCGCTTCTCTAGTGCGACGTTCTAACCAACTGAGCTACGCGGAGGATGATGATCCTCTCGCGCATTTCAGTGCTACTCGTACAGATCGGACTGTTACCGATCGATGATCGACTATGCGTGTGACATCGACGACGACGCACCAACATCGCGACTGCGGGCGTCTGACATCTTTCGATCCGTGACATATCTCCCCTCTTTAAAGTGTCGTGACCTCACGACATTCGTGTCGAGTTACTTTTCAGAGGTCCGACCTCAGATGTGATGACGTGGCAGCCTGCGATGAAGCTGGGTAGCAGTTCTTGGGATGCAGCCCGAATCCACGTCATCAGCGCGGATCACATCGTGCCCATGCATACGCGATCGTAGCGCAGGTCACATCGCCGTGCCCGAGCATACGCGATCTTAGCGTAGGTCACATCGTGTGCCTTATGCCGTTACATCTGAGGCGGTTTCCGAACCGTCGCTTCGATACCAATGTTAGGGTTGGAAATCGGTGCGGGGATTTCACTGTACGAGCCGGGTCAAATCATATATATCGTCATGGGGCGAAAATGCTCCACGACGGGATTTGAACCCGTGACGTTCGCTTCTCTAGTGCGACGCTCTAACCAACTGAGCTACGCGGAGGATGATGATCCTCTCGCGCATTTCAGTGGTACTCGTACAGATCGGACTGTTACAGATCGATGATCGACTATGCGTGTGACATCGACGACGACGTACCAACATCGCGACTGCGGGCGTCTGACATCTTTCGATCCGTGACATATCTCCCCTCTTTAAAGTGTCGTGACCTCACGACATTCGTGTCGAGTTACTTTTCAGAGGTCCGACCTCAGATGTGATGACGTGGCAGCCTGCGATGAAGCTGGGCAGCAGTTTTTGGGATGCAGCCCATCGCACCGAACGTGCATCGCAGTTTTTGGGATGCAGCCCGAATCCACGTCATCAGCGCGGGTCACATCGTGCCCATGCATACGCGATCGTAGCGCAGGTCACATCGCCGTGCCCGAGCATACGCGATCTTAGCGTAGGTCACATCGTGTGCCTTATGCCGTTACATCTGAGGCGGTTTCCGAACCGTCGCTTCGATACCAATGTTAGGGTTGGAAATCGGTGCGGGGATTTCACTGTACGAGCCGGGTCAAATCATATATCGTCATGGGGCGAAAGTGCTCCACGACGGGATTTGAACCCGTGACGTTCGCTTCTCTAGTGCGACGCTCTAACCAACTGAGCTACGCGGAGGATGATGATCCTCTCGCGCATTTCAGTGGTACTCGTACAGATCGGACTGTTACAGATCGATGATCGACTATGCGTGTGACATCGACGACGACGTACCAACATCGCGACTGCGGGCGTCTGTCATGTTTCGATCCGTAACATATCTCCCCTCTTTAAAGTGTCGTGACCTCACGACATTCGTGTCGAGTTACTTTTCAGAGGTCCGACCTCAGATGTGATGACGTGGCAGCCTGCGATGAAGCTGGGTAGCAGTTCTTGGGATGCAGCCCGAATCCACGTCATCAGCGCGGATCACATCGTGCCCATGCATACGCGATCGTAGCGCAGGTCACATCGCCGTGCCCGAGCATACGCGATCTTAGCGTAGGTCACATCGTGTGCCTTATGCCGTTACATCTGAGGCGGTTTCCGAACCGTCGCTTCGATACCAATGTTAGGGTTGGAAATCGGTGCGGGGATTTCACTGTACGAGCCGGGTCAAATCATATATATCGTCATGGGGCGAAAATGCTCCACGACGGGATTTGAACCCGTGACGTTCGCTTCTCTAGTGCGACCTTCTAACCAACTGAGCTACGCGGAGGATGACGATCCTCTCGCGCATTTCAGTGGTACTCGTACAGATCGGACTGTTACCGATCGATGATCGACTATGCGTGTGACATCGACGACGACGCACCAACATCGCGACTGCGGGCGTCTGACATCTTTCGATCCGTGACATATCTCCCCTCTTTAAAGTGTCGTGACCTTACGACATTCGTGTCGAGTTACTTTTCAGAGGTCCGACCTCAGATGTGATGACGTGGCAGCCTGCGATGAAGCTGGGTAGCAGTTCTTGGGATGCAGCCCATCGCACCGAAGGTGCATCGCAGTTCTTGGGATGCAGCCCGAATCCACGTCATCAGCGCGGGTCACATCGTGCCCATGCATACGCGATCGTAGCGCAGGTCATATCGCCGTGCCCGAGCATACGCGATCTTAGCGTAGGTCACATCGTGTGCCTTATGCCGTTACATCTGAGGCGGTTTCCGAACCGTCGCTTCGATACCAATGTTAGGGTTTGAAATCGGTGCGGGGATTTTCACTGTACGAGCCGGGTCAAATCATATATCGTCATGGGGCGAAAATGCTCCACGACGGGATTTGAACCCGTGACGTTCGCTTCTCTAGTGCGACGCTCTAACCAACTGAGCTACGCGGAGGATGATGATCCTCTCGCGCATTTCAGTGGTACTCGTACAGATCGGACTGTTACAGATCGATGATCGACTATACGTGTGACATCGACGACGACGTACCAACATCGCGACTGCGGGCGTCTGTCATCTTTCGATCCGTGACAGTGGGGGCGGAGAACTAAGGAGAGAGCTAAGGAGAGAGATAAGAACTGTGGAGAAGTAAGGAACTGTCATCTGTCGACGTGGACGGAATTTATGACCGAAGATTCCCTTATTTGTTATTTGTTAGTTCTCCGACCACTTTGCGGAACCTCTCTATTCAGTGCGTTAACAGTGCAAAAATTGACGCCCATATCGTAGGCTGTACACGACACAGTGTATGCGGTATGCATATTATATCAATTGAAGCCCCAGTTTATTGTATATATAATTTTTAGAAATATTTGGCATAAAAATTGAAACGTACCCAGCGTGCGGTATAAATGAGTAAGGTCACCCATAAATGACTGCATTAATAATATAATTCGAAGGGGTGCGGGGGCGGGGCGGGCGAAGCCAGCCCCCCCCAAGATAGAGATGGATAGACCAATGCCGAGACGAATAAACGGGCACGTTAAGTATGTGTTTTTGGAACACGAGAAGGGGGGCGAGGGTTAGGGTGGGGTGGAGGGGGGGGAGGGGAGGAGGGAGGAGGAGGGAGGAGGAGAAGACACAATCTCTATTTGTCGGTCTCTCACTCTTCGTCACATGATGATGATATAATTGACCATGGATGATCAGGGGGTTTATTTTTTCCCCACCTGTACGTTCACGTACCCCCTATATAAATCAGGTCTTCATTCCCGCAATTCCCAGAAATGCTTGCAAGGACGGATGAAATTCAGTGCGTTAACAGTGCAAAAATTGACGCCCAAATCGTAGGCTGTACACGACACAGTGTATGCTGTATGCATATTATATCAATTGAAGCCCCGGTGTAATGTATATAATTTTTAGAAATATTTTGCATATTGGGGGAAAATCGGAGATGAAACCGAAGATTCCCCCTCTTTTGAAAAATTGGGGGAAAATTCAGCGCGTTAATAATGCAAATATTGAGGCCCATATCGTAGGTTGTACACGACACAGTGTATGCTTATGCTGTATGCTGTATGCTGTATGCATATTATATCAATTGAAGCCCCAGTGTAATGCATATATAATTTTTAGAAATATTTTGCATATATAAATTAGGTCTTCATTCTGCCAATTCCCAGAAATCCTTGCAAGGATGGATGAAATTCGGCGCGTTAATAGTGCAAATATTGAGGCCCATTGTTGGAAACACTGTGCCGACAGTGGGAAACGCTCGCGACGGTGAACGAACGGATCAAGCTAAACTGTGATAACACAAATAAATACCCTG